CGATCAGTGTTTCAGAAACCGGGCTTAAATTTATTAATTAAGTGGATATTTTAAACAACAATTTTTCCTACACAAATAAATTTTAACATAACATTAGTACTTGTATTGTGTTTCATGAAATTTAGTATGTGCGTAGATTCATTTTTAGAAAATGTCCTGTTATCCATGTTTTCAGGGAATGAAAAATATCATTCGAATGTAAATTTCGCCGAAAAAAAAATGTTATAATAGCTTGGTCAGTAATCGGGCGGCCTCGAAACAGAAGGCCGCGGTTCGTGTCACGATCATTTACACACTATTTTTTACTTTTTTTTCTATACCAGATCATTGCTTTCTTAATTTTTTATTTCCAAAATACACGATTTAGCAAAAAAAAAAACGAGCAAAGCTCGGTCCTCCATGTACTTTATTCTTTACGATTCTAAACGATCAAACTTTCCTTAGTAATTAATAAATAGAAAAATTCATGTGTTAATATTGTTTTGTTAATGATCCACTTTCGATGTCGAATATATGCATTAAAATCACCATTGGAAATGCTCGGAAGCGATCACAAATATACTTCAACAATTGTCTCATTGAAATTTTATTGAAACGTATCAATTCGCGATGATAAAAGAATAACAAAAACATCAAAAGGTCAAATCAATAGCATCTTAAATGTCACGCTCGAAATGTTGGCGGGTAACGTCTCATGACATTTTACGTAATATCTCTCAGTTGTTGCGAGATTTTAGGTGATTATTTCTTCTCTATTACAATTTTAATGTGAATGTTATGAAAGTGAGAATTTTAAGAATAACCTGACATTGGCGCAATTGCGATAACTCACAAAACAAGCCATTAATAAAAATAAGAAGAAGGAATTTTAGGTTATACAGCGTGATGATGTCAGAAGTAACTTTTTGATAGTTTGAAATAAGTTATACTCCAAATATGTATGTCCTGGTTTTTATTTGTAGTAGAATGACTATTGTCTCGCTCGACCAGGGAAGTATAGCTTTCGGCAAAAAGTAGACCTATTTATAATGGTCTATCATCAATTCATCAGACGGTTAAGTACCATCATCCATGGACACGGATGACAGATAGGGTTGCCCATTAATATCAATCACATAGATTATGGGCCTCTTCTTATTTTACCGCATAACTGGCGTAATAATAAATAAAATAAATGATAAATGAAGTAAATATATAAATACATTTATTTCATGCCAGTTATGCGAGGCCACAGTTGTTCCCCGGTTTAATTACTCTAACCATGCCACTGAAATTGTGTATAAGCTGTTCTTTGCAGTGCTATAGAAAAGATGGTGGTGATGAAACTCCGTGGCTTTACCAACAGGTTAACCGCCAGCTCATTTACCACCTACTTTTACCAGAAAATGCACTAAAGAATTATATATAAATCGCCCATAACGGAGGAGTTACATATGGTATGGTAATAACCAATGGTTTCTTCTTTAAACTGATAAGAGTTTATTTTGATTACTCATGTTACACATCTAGTCTTCATCACATTACAACAAATGTTTTGCGTCTTAGCCGTGCTTTTAGACCGTTGTATTTCGAAAAACTGTAGCCGGCGCACGACGACACGGGGACACGATCTGCTCCGCTGCAACTGCTATTAAAAGAAACATGGACAATACGACTAAAAATGGTAGCACGACTCTGTTCAAGGATCTTGCAGATGCAGGATGCAGGAGTTATAAAATCATCCAAGATAACACAATCTCGATGTTGGACTCTTTCCTTGGTATGAGCCGTCAACGATGGCGACCAACGGTGTTTTATAATATACAACACGCATGTCGATACCGCGCGGCGTTTAGAAATTATTCAGCTTTACATTATATGACATATATAAGTGAATGTGACAGATGATATGGAACGTTATAATACGGAAACAGAACGAAACAGCAGTCTATTGAATTGCAATCTAATTACACCAATTGGTGTAATTTAAGTGCCTCAGTTTCGGTGCGCCCAGTGTGATATCTACCTCGTATTTGCATATAATATCATTGATTGCGACTAAATGGATGACGCAACCTTAGATAAAATAATGTATTGACTTCTAGCGCCATCAGGTAATAAAATCAGGAACTAAACGTTGCTGCAAATAGTAAACATACACACAGGCGATATTGGATTTAGTATTGATAATAAGCATGTGCAAAGTTACGCGTAACACCAAGTAATACTAACCAGACGATACTCACATACGGAACTTATTGCAAACAATATACCAGTCATTTTATATCATAAACGTATGGCATCGGCGTGGGTCTACTAAGGTATCTATTTGAAACCCGTGCACTCGTCAATTATCCAATAATGGGCATGCATTAGATGCATGAATTGCCAAGGTCGCAGATTACCGCAATTGCTGCCGAGCAGGAGTGCCGGGAATGGATTATGCCCGTGACAATGACGGATGCCTCTAACCATTATATTGCACGACAGTAATGACTTGCATAGAGATAAAATATGACATTTTCATAAGACAACATTCCTATAAATGTTTTATATAGTTTTATTCATCGTAAAACAATTTAGGGTTCCGTACAAAACGGGACCCTAATAGGTACTAGGACTCCGCTGTCTGTCTGTTCATTTATCACCAGGCAATAACTTTCTCATGAACCGTGATAGTTAGGCAGTTGAAATTGTCGCAGATAATGTATTTCTGTCGAGCTATAACAAATACCAAAAAACAGCATAGAAAAAAAAATGTAAGTGGGGGCTCCCATAATTATTTGGACATGATTTTTTTTGCCGATTTTATAGATAAATGTACGGAACCCTTCTTTGGCGAGTCGGACACACACTTGACTGGTTTTATTTAAGTTAGTTTGTGCGCTTATACAATGCCCATAAAAAATGTGTTATCCTATGATTTTAATACATGCATGTATTGTTAAAACATAGCACACAAACTATGTTATATCTTGTGAACGTTTTGTACGTATGCATTTAGTATTTATCGGTAAGCCTGGTCGAAGGAGGCAACAGATAAGATAGTAAATAATCCCTTTACTTAAACTTAAACGATAAATTTTCTATCATAAAGACTTTTTAGAAAATGCAAAGCCAAGTATTTCATCGCTGATTTACTGCAACAAAATATATCGTAATCGTGGATATACTATTTTCATAAATTTCAGAATATATATTTTTTTAATAGAATAAGTTGACAGGCGAGCACGGCGAAAGTTATTTAACACCGCGTGAAACTTCACGCGATGTTAAATAAGTATCGCCGTCCACGAACACCTACAAAACCCGGTGGTTTGCAGAACCGTTGCCAACATATTCAAAAGTGGGCCCCGGTTACAACACTCGTCAGACGGAATTTGACGTAAAGGGTGGTACTAGCACCCTTTACGCCTGTCTTCTGAGGACGTGGTTCCTTCGCGGACGAGCCTGCCCATTCGTGCAACAGAAAAGGCTGTCGCGCGGCCCTACCGATGTGAAAATACCCTAACAGATATCAAAATAGTTTATTTAGCATGTATTAATTGTAGTCGGGTTCATAACAACAATTGGACGTCCTTCATCGTCTCAAGCTCTCTCTCAAAACGTGGCGCAGTTGAAAATATAGCTAAAAAAAAAGATAAGAAAATGTTAGTACTAAAGTTGTAAATGTAAATATAAAACACAAATGTCCACTTAAGAAATACAAGAAACAAAAAATGATAGGTGCACGTTATTGGTTGTTCACAGCATTTCTGTGTTTATAATTTCATTTTTCTTAACTGTACATCTATTAGCAATTTTTGTGAAAACATTGCCCTCACTTTAGGATACTGTGCTGTAATGACGTTTTACCAACACAAATGTGGATAAACACCCACATACGAAACAATCCGTGGGACACAGAAATATTTGTCCCGTGTGGGAATCGAACCCAACCCACGACCCCCAACGCCGAAACCTTGGCAACTGCGCCACGGAGCCATCAAATGACTTTCTATTATAAACCAAAAAGCGCTTATCACAAAGAAAATCATAAAAGCATTAAAATAAAGAAACAAAACTTAAAAGTAAAAAAAAAGTAAAATAACAGCCTATACATATCCCACTGCTGAGAGGGTATTACGGCATAGTCCACCACGCGACTGCGGATTGGCGGACATATCTCGGAAATACACATATTTTTTTGCTATTATTTCGAAAATATGCAGGTTTCCTCACAATATTTTCCTTCACCGCTGATCACGTGATAACCCAGCACTTAAAACTAACAATTTCATTGGAACTCAGGTTGGTCGAGTATATTAAATTAACAATGAGCTATCACGCCATAAAAAACAACACATATATTCAAAACAAACAAAACATAGTACAAAAATACTTTTATTTGGCAAATCAGCCTCTTATGTAAAAAAAATGCATAAAATGACTTAGGTATAAAAGAGAGCGTAACATTTGGCAAGTCAGTTGTTAAAAATATCATCAATTTAAATGAAGGTAAAATGTTATTTCAAAAATAAATTGACTTTGGTATACCAAAGCTTATAAAAAGAAGCTTTTATAAGTACTTAAGCTTTAAACTTAATATTACAATATTAAATAGCAACACATCTAAAATAAATAAAAAACGTTCAGTACATGTTGTACAAAGAATTATCAGTATACTTTGGACGAGGTAATGAAAAAGTTAATAAATGGAATGTCTTAATTTCATATGTTAATACCAACACAACCATATTTCATTACTTTGAAAATGTATCATACATTAAAATTCTTAGTTTTGATGCTGTAGTCATGGTATTTCCCTGGATGTGCCAATGGAGAAACATTAGCAATGCATTGGTTACTGACAACTAAATGCTGAAAGTACACCTTTATATCAGGGATATTTCAAAGGCCACTGTAAATGGGGCACTTGAAAGACACTGAACATCTTCTTTGGTGTAAACGAGACATAACCACTGGAAGAGATTGGCTCCAGTATGGGGTAGCTGCAGTGTGGTTAGCTTATTTCCTATTTACATGTTCTGCTGCAAGAATTTGCGCTCGTTGATGCAGTTCTCAAGTTCATCGTGGTATGTATCAATTTTCTCATCGAATCCCGGACTCTGAACTTCAGTATTAAAACTGTCGCCTGTTATTACCTTCTCGCGGTTCAGGGTTGAATCGAAACGCACCTTCTTGCCCGGCGTGTGGGTTTTGGTGCTGGACAGTTCGTTAGTGTCGTTTGCCCTTTCTCTCAGAGGCGTCACGTTCATATTGTAGCGAGTGTTCCTCAAAGTTTTCACTGTCTCATATTGGTTCTCCTCGCCGTCCAGCTCCTCTACATCGACCTCGTCGGAGTTATCCAGGTTAAGAGCGGGGTTCTCTATGCCGGACTCTTTCGCTGGCTTCTGATTGGGCGGCTTCCGCGGCACCTCGTAAGGGTTGAGTGTGACGTTCTGGTCCTTTTCCCCTCTGAATGTCTTCTTGAGAGTCTTGAGGACCTTTTTGGACAGCTTGTTGCTGACCTTGAACAGGTGATTCAAGTCTTTCCTGCTGTTGCTCGACTCGTTCGAGGAGTTGCCCTCGCTGTTCTTGTTCAGGTTCATGATGTCGACGGCGCTGAACCTTGAGACGTCGTGGCCGAGTATCTTGCTCTGCTTGTTATAACCTGGGTCGCCGGCGAGATCATCGATGTTCTCGTAGATGGGGCTCTCCGATCGGTACTCGACGTTCTCGTACTCGTGGCTGTCGACGTTTACTGAGGACTCGTTGACCGTCGAGATTGTGCTGTTCGTGTCCCCTGTGAAAAGGGTCCGGGGAATCGGATTCCGTATCGGTGCTGCTTGACATAACACCGGCCTGTTGAGCGCTTCGACGTTATACTCCAGTTCTTTGGGTTCGTCCGTAAGGAATGGATTTTCGTTGCTGACCTCCACTCTCGTGTCCAAATCGGGGTCTAGGAAAGGGTTGGTGGAGGTTTTCTGCGCTAAACGTTTCTTCTTTGTCACGATGGTTATCGTCTTTATCTCCATTATATTGCTTTCGTTCAGATCGTCGTCCAAGTATAAGGATTGGTTGGAAACGCATGGCGAATCGAGCGCCAGTCTGTCGATGAAACTCAAGTTCAAGTTGCTAGTGTTTCCGACGAATATTTGATTCGTCACGTTGCTTTGTATGTTTGTCACGTTCTTTATTGCGGACAAATCCGTATCCAGATCGGTGGTGATGGCAGCGTTCAGTGATTTCTGCTCCAATATCGATATACCAGAATCCAGTTCCGTTGTGTCATCGAGAGCCGTATGTTCTATACTGTCCCTTAAATCGGCAGAACCGTTTCTGTTAAACAAATGAACAGAACTTTCATTCCCGACGTTAGAAACTTCACATAGATTGGCGTATACGGGCTCGTCTGTGGTGTACACAACACTCTTCGTATCGTTATTGAAATTTATCGGACTTTCGTAGGCTCTAACATTCCTGCGCACATTCTCTAACTCGCGCACTAAAAATTCATTGACGGCTGCCTTGCTTATTCCCAAATCTAAAGCTGAGTTTTCGAACGCAGCTATGTCACAGCTTTTCGCCCTCTTCCGGCGTTTGTTTGGTGCTATCTCCATAGCGTTGTTACACATAGGATCCTCGTTGGCAAGTAGATCCAGCGCCGGGTTTAAGAAGACGTTGCTGGTCTGAACAATTCTCTTTCGTTTCGCTTTCAGATTAGGTTTGACTTCGAACAGGTTGTTGTCCACTGGTTCCATGATAAACTGAAATAAATGTTAGTTTCTAAATTTATTTGGGTTAACATACCATTACAATGCTAAAATGGACACAATTTGTTACCACATTTCAAAATGTTATTAATATGGTCTTTTATTTTTTTGAGGTTTTACATTTATATACGTTATAGGAATATAAAAATTTATAATGGTTAAAAATCTTTATAGGAATGTTTTCAAACAGTTGATTTATGCAGAAGGAAATAAAAATATAAAGGCTAAATAAGACATGAATTCACAAAGGATAAAAAAATAAATAAATCTCATTTTAAACTGTGCATGTTTTCTACGGCAACCTTTTTGAAATTTTATGGTATAGGTAACGAGGGCTAATGCTATTTTAGAAATGGTAATATGACCACAAACACTATAGAGTTTGATACCTCAGGAGGTTAATTAACATATACAACAAACATTGTAAACTATTTTCATTATTATTCCGAAAAGTAATTAAAACATCTCAAAAATAGTTTCATTATAACAGTAATATCCCAGCAAAGAGACATTCCATTTTCTCACTTCAAATCGAATATAATTAAACAAAAGAGTGTAACTGTAATTAGAGTTTCAAATTCAAAATCATCGGTCACAATAACTAATTAGAGAAAAAATAACTGGTTGTTAAGAACAGAGAATATGGAAACTGTCAAATTCAAAATATTTTTATCCATTGAAATTGGTTCTCGACATTTCAATTTTATATCCTTGTGTAGTAATATACTGTGTTTTACTCTCCATGTTTCAATCATATTGCAAGCACATTCAAATAGATTAGAAATTCATCTTTACAGTAAGTTAACAATAATTATATAATTTAGAACATAGTTAAATTTCATTTTTGTAATAGTAACACACATCTTTATCTGCTAATATGACTTTATTATGCTATTTACTTAAATTTATTTATTCTTTATTGAAAAGGGTTACAAAGGGCAGACTCAACGCCTATTGGCATTCTCTACCAGTCAACCCGGGGCATGAGGAGAAATTGTGGTAGGTGTAATACAGAAAGGGGAATAAAATATGAATTCGTGAAAAAAATGCTTATATCGAATAATGTAATATACATAAGATATTACATAACATTAACATAACACATAATATATAAAATTAAAATAAACATATATACATTATGTATACCATAAATACATACATATAAAATATAATTAATCAGGATGTTAAGCTAAACCATTTATAATTTAATCTAAATGCAAATTTGCCAATCAGATTCAAATTAAGTAATTTTTATGACAGACATATTAATAATATTCAGGGGGTAAACCATTCACCACACATCTTCGCCCTAGTGAAAAACAACTACATAGTTTATAATCCCAGCCGTGAGAAATTATTGTCAGAAACTACTTTACAACAGACGATGAACAAAGACAGTTGGGTTTACTATTGCAGAATGATTAAGTCATTATTTTATTTCAGCGTTATTAGTCTGTATATAACTCTTCCTATTTCAGGATTTACGCGATACATGCACAGATTTGTCCTAATACATTTTAAAACCATTATTAACCACGATAAACACAAAATATTTAGTATTAATAAAGCGTATTTACATCTTTGCACGTTAATTAATTACTTACCCATTTATATAGAAATTAATGAATACAATGGGTCAAAAACCATCCGCTGTCAACTATGTAACTATTAATTAACAGTTTATATATCGACTGAATAAGTTTTGCTATTATTTTAATTTATAAATCCCAATTTTAGTTTCAAAACAAATGCTTAACAAAACGGCAGGTGTTTCGGTACGGCCGACGGTTACAATTTGACAATTGACATAATAGTTGCTAGTGATGAAAAATGTGTTAATGGGTAATGAGTACGTTTTATTGATTGTCTTATAAAATAGTTTATGGATTTAATGGTTTGTTTTTTTTTTTTTTTGTAAATCGTGTATTTTGGAAATTACACTTAGATACTTATTAATGAAATATACATAATAATTTTCCGATCTTACCGACATAATAATAAGAAAATATGAAGTGGTGTTTTTCACAACAGAAACAACTTTAAAAAAAGGGGAAAAAATAACAAAATCATCTGGATCAACAAAAAATAAAAAATAAAGAAAGCAATGATCTGGAATCGAAAAAAAAGTAAAAAAACCACGGCCGTCTGTTTTGGGGCCGCCCGATTACCGACCGAGCTATTATAACATTTTTTTTGCGGCGAAATTTACCGTCATATTTGAATGATATTTTTCATTCCCTGAAAACAGGGATAAAAGGACAAAAAATGAAACCTAGTTAGATCGATTTTTCGCCCCCGAATCTACGCACATACTAAATTTCATGAAAATCGCTGGAGCCGTTTCCGAGATTCCGATTACATATATATATATATATATAAACAAGAATTTCTCGTTTAAAGGATAAGATTCAGTGGCCAAAGCAATAGCAACAGTCGTCTTCCACCGCTCTGTCTTTACCTTTCCCGAGATCCCCAACACGCTTCCAGATGCAGAGGAAATAAAGGCTCTCCATGAGCAGTGCGGCCCTCTCAGCCTCTCCAGTACGGGTTCACCGTGACAATCCTCGACGTGCCACTTAAGGCGTATTTGCCAATTAGCGCGAGTAGCCTCCGCGGTCCTTACTAAAGGAGCAACTCCTATCTCTTCCAGATAAGGCGCTGTAGCATAAAACGCGCCCCTTATTCGGCACGGGCGACGGACTCCCCGCGGTACATAGACCATCAAGTCAGGAGAATCAACTTTAACCATTTGCAATCCGCGGTCCAGACACCATCAAGTCAGGAGAATCAACTTTTACTATTAGCAATCCGGGATGAAATCCGTAAAATATGTGAGCAGGTGGCAATGAAACCTGATGTTAAGCGATAACTGCCGCCCATTGACACTTGCAACACCCGTAGGGTTGCCACCTTTTAATAAACTGGGCCCCGGCGACCTCACTCACCAGACCAAACGCAGAAGTATAACATTTCCACTTCACGCCTCTTCGTGGTACTTACCCGGACGGAGCTGACCATTCATCAGCGGAGACTGTGCGTGGCCCAACCACAGTTAAATATAATTTATATACATATTAATAATGTATATTTTTTTTTAGGTTTATTTTTATTTTTTAGTGCAAGTCTGCACTCAAGATGAAACTTGATAAAAAATAAGATCAAAAACAATTTAAGACCAATCTTTACAAATATTCAACGTTGAATGTTATTTGTAAGGTGTTGTATGCTGTAAAATATTCACACTAAATGCGCGAAGCATTGTTAAAAATGCAATAGAACGAACGTAGTTACATGTCAAGATTTTCGCGCCGTGAGGTCATCGGCCTCTAAACTTATTTGGTAAAGCGTCTGGGCCCAAAACCAGAAAGAGGAATCCCACAGCGCCAAAAGATTTTGTTCATTTATCTACAAAAATTTACAATGTATATTTTTGTTTCGTTTGGATTGGTGTTGTTAGCGGCACCTGAGACATCAACTGTGTGAACCTTTTAAAACCTATTGGGATTAAAAGAGGTTTATATCATATAAAGGAAAGTAAATGAAAGAATTGAGCCGGGCAAAAAATTATATTACAACTCATTTGTTTTTGGTTGCCAGAACCTCTATCACAAGAAAACAATATCACAATAACAGCATCGCGAAATACGTTAAAATTGCGTATAACTTAACAGGCACAATAAATATATATACCCACACCAAAGGATAAGCGTTCCACATCACCAAGAAACTAAATAGAGAACAATATTATGGAACAAAATTATCCAAGAACTAAACACTTGCGAGTATTTGGACAACTGACACATACCGGTTTATAATAGGAATAACAAACATTTGTCTTAATAGCAATTAAGACAGTTGTTTGTCTTAATTGTTCTAAATTTACATTAGAAGAGTTTAATAAAACAACAACACATTCCACAACACATTTTAAAATAATCAATGGTCAAAAATCGATAAAGAAAACTGAGATTCACTTAGACCCTATTAAGTAATCCCCATTAGTTTAAAAGAAATGTATAACAATAAATCTAAAAAGATATCCTTATTTGTTTAAGTACATTAACAATTTGTCATATAAACAGTTTACTTATTAAAATTATTACAACAAGATGTCAATGCTAAGTCATTACAAAGCATTATATACCATATTTTTATTTTATAATATTGCTCATAAACCGATTGCTATGAATATAGTTAAAATACAACGCCAGAATAAGTCGTGATCGAGATATAAAATTATTTTATCCATAATTTCAAGGCTCTAAAATATTTTATCTGTTTCAGAACAGAATGTCAAAAAATGTGTAAACACTCAACGCATATTTTATTCGCGGCAGTTGGAAGAAGACTTACATTGAACATTCAATTGCGTAACTGGCAACACTATACAAAAATGAATAAAAAGATTGAATAGGAAGAAACACGTTTAAGAATATTGCGAGATTAATTTGTAAATTTTCATACGTTTCTAAAATTATGAGTGTTTGCGTGAAAAACTTCTCTTTCGTCTAATTTTTGTCACTCCTTTAAAAATACACAGAATATATAAAACATTGAATTTCTGTATGCATGTATATTACATAAGCACACATTAAAAATCAGTCTAATAATAAAATATCAGCAATTATACATATATAAATTTATTTATATAACATACTATATTCTAGAACAATACTGAACCAAATTTATTTAGATAACATTTTTTGAGTGCACTATAAAATACTACTTTAGAATGTATAAAATTTCTAATAGATATATAATGTTCAAATATAGTTTTTAACATATTTGCTTTCTTAAATCTTTTTTTTTTGTGCTTATGTATGGAATTTCTACTGTCGTATGTGCCATGTTCGGTCTATTTATAATTGACTGTATTATATAATATATGGACATTTTATTGAACTTCCAATCCAGTTCAATGAACATTTTTAAGTATCCGAGTTAACTCATCCTTATCCCTTCTAAAAACCGTGATGATTGAATTGGTTAAGAGAAGTTGGAATTTCATATATTTAACCAGAGTATATTTGGATTAACAAGACATTCCTATTCCCTTATTCACACATTCATATGTTAAAAGCCAGTACATCCAATATTCAAGCATTCCAAATAACAACGCATTTTGAGGCATTACTTATGATTAGGAAGAACTATATGCCATAACACAATTGATACACATAATATTCTGTACGGAATGATTTACGGGAATTTGAATGGTGCGGCATTGGTGATTGGACCCGAAATATCTCGCACTGCCTGCGCCGTGTATGGACTAGATGCGTAAGAGCTGGGGGTCGTGATACCCGACCAGAACAGCTGCCAGGTGTTTTTTACCTAGTCTATGTCCAGGTTCTTGAAGGCCTTCTCCATCGCGCGGTCTCGCTTCTTGTCGGGCAGCGCCGCCAGCCTCTGCTCCTCCTCAGCCCTGAAGTAGGGCTGCAGCTCCTCGAGCTGCTGCATGCACCGCTTGTGGAGGGTCTGGGTGTCCGGCAGGGTGCCGCCATGGTCGGGGGGGAGGGCGGAGCGCGGGACCACGGTCTCGTAGAACTTCTGCAGGTCCTCGTTCTTGTGGTGGAACTTGAGCTGCGGACGACGACCGTTGATATTTATACGCCCTATATCCCATATATAGGGCGTATTCTGAACCGGCTGAATTGGAAACGGGCTAAGCGGTTCGCGCGATGTTCGGTTACTGGTGTGTTTGAATTAACGAGGATTCAAGTCGGTTACGCCACTCTCATGAATAATAGCGAAAGTATTTATTTATATATTTAAAAATTCATTGTTTACACTCCAACTTAAGGCTATTAAAGGCAAATTTAATGCGTATAAGAATTCTCTTCCAGTCGACCCTGAGAGTGGAGAAAATTCGACGCAGGTGCAAAACAATATTAATATAGAAATATAAATATTGTTTTGCCATGGTATCATGGCCGTGGACCGGACAAGGCTAATTTGCTAGAAATCGATGGATGCGGTCGCTGGATAGTGACGAATAAAATTACACTGACTCATTACTAGGATCCTATGTCGTAGTATTTTACATACATAAGTTACACATTCGACGATGGAACAAAACTGACTCTAATCCGACTATGGCATATCATTACGCAGGTCGAGGTTTTTATTGTGGCGTCCAATGATATTATATACAAATTCGATAGTCTAGTCAACAAGTTCAAAAACGTGTTAAATAGATATAAAGCTCCTAAAAATATGTGCAATAGCTCATTCGATTCGGACTGACGCCTGGAAAAATGTTTTTTAAGGGTTTATTAGCACATAAAAAATTGCGATTGTTATTAACAAAATAAGATAAAAAAAAAGGTATTTAGTTTTTTAAGAAATACAAAACATTAGAAGGAAAACGGAAATAAACAACTGATAAACAATAGTTACAGAATCGATTTGGAATTCATTTCAAAGATAAATAAATCCTTTATAAAAATGACCTGAAGGTCCTTTACTGTATCTCTTATAGTTTAAAAGTTATAACAATTTATAACTTGACAAATTATGTAACGGCTGTAATTTCATTATCATATAATATTTAACAATGCTGTAAAAAATACAAAAAAAAATTTTTCAGTACTTTGTTATATATGGTTGTTTTTGTAATTTTTTGAAGTTTTAGAAAAAAAATATAACGGTTGATATTATTTGTTTATAACAAATTGTTAAGTTTATAAACAATAAAAAAAAATATTCCTCTGTTAATCCATTGAAAAGGATCAATGATGATTTTTAAGAATAAAACGATTATAAACAATAAAAAAAATTATTTAAGAAAAATTTTTTTTTCTAAAAATCATTATTTAACCTATGCAATGATGGTAAAAAAATTTTTTTAAAAATCCCAAAATAGTCTGTTTGTTTATAAACAATTTCTTAACAAATGACGTAAAAATTTTTTCCAATGTTAATTAATACCTATATTAGATGCAAAAACAGCAATAATAAGATATTACTTAAAAAAATTATTTTGATAACATTTTTTAGAAATTTTAGTTTTTGTTAATTTAAAAAAATTATAATTAACAAAATAATAAACTTTAATATTTTTTTTTGCATTAACTTATTAAGTACCTAAATGAGAAGAGCTCCACGAAGCGAAAAATTTATAGACCAATTATTTAAACTTTTATGCCGTAATTTTTAAAAAACAGAGCTTGGAAAACAATTAGTTAATTAACAATGGTGTAATTTTTTGAAAAATTTACATAAAATTTTTTTTCCACCGAGATTTTTTTCGTTTAAGTGTCTAGATTACACCATAATTTATTCAAATTTTTAAATTGTTATTTAATACTATAAAAAAATTATTTTAGGTGACATATCGGCTTTTTAGACGGCGCGCCTATGCCGTAACGACCTCGCTTCAGCGTTAAAAAAATTATAAATAAGAGAATTAGAATTCCGGGAGTTGGGACTTTTTTATTGGAAATTTCCTCCTCTTTCAGGACCTTTTTTCAAAATTCATTAAATATCATTATTTTAGAAATTATTAACAAAAAAACTAAATACCTTTTTTTTAATCTTATTTTGTTAATAACAATCGCAATTTTTTATGTGCTAATAAACCTATTACTTAAAAAAGATTTTTCTAGGCGTCAGTCCGAATCGAATGAGCTATCGCACATATTTTTAGGAGCTTTATATCTATTTAACACGTTTTTGAACTTGTTGACTAGACTACGAGGTAGATGTGATGTGATGTGATGTGATGTGATGTCTCTTTCTGTATCATATGTTCTATATCACCTGTCACAATCAATTATATATTTCATTTAATATAAAGCGGAACAATGTCTAAACGCCGCTTAGTATGGACATGCGTCATCTGCATTATTAAACATAAAAAGTCCGGGTAAGTACCACGACCTCACAGAAGACCGGCGTCAAGTGGAAGTAGAACACTTTCGCGTTTCTTCTGAGGCGTACTACCGGCGTAGAGGTAGCCGGTGGCCAATTTTCAAAAGTTTGTCAACGCATCTGCAAACCTCGGGTGTAGCAGATGTCCATGGGCGGCGGTGAATCGCCTGCTCGCTTGGCAACTTTTGCAACGTAAAAAAAAATTCTCACCATATCGAAGAACTTCTTGTCCATGAACGGCCTGATGAGCATCATCAGCTTGTCGAGCACCGGTTCGGTGTTGAACACGTGTATCGCCTTCATCCTGACCGGCAGGGCCTCCTGCACGTACTGGAAGAATTTCCGCAGCGACCTGCAAACCATTGGCTGACCTTCAAACTGGCAGCAACCTCGAATGCAATCGGCGGATGAATATGGTGGCGTTGAAAAAAAGTTTAATAGAAATAAAAAAGATCCTGGCCACTTAGCGATGCGGCGTAGAGAAAAAAAAAAGAAATACAATGGCGGGAAATTAACACGAAATTGGAAATTGGAAAGTAATTACAATAGACGAGGAATGTGTTTTAAGGCAATGGGTTTCGTATTTGCAATATAGACTTCGACATTCGACTTCGCATTTATAAAAAAAATACGAAGTGGTTTCGCGAATTCAAAATTAATTAACAAGGGCTTTGAAATTAAAATATTGTTGTTTACTGATTGCTTCAAAATTTTATCATATGTTAAAAAATTTCGTATGTTACAGAGCTGCTAAATTTTATTTAACTGGGAGAGTTAATCTTTAAATTCGGTCAATGCTAAGAGCAATCTCAAAAGACTATATTATATAGTTCAACTTAGGTGGCGGGTCCGTCCTGGTGAGTACCACGACCTCACAGAAGAGCGGCGTGAAGTGGAAGTGTTATCAGAAGCCGGGGCCCACTTTATTTAAAGGTGGCAATGCATCTGCTCTACGGGTGTTGCAGATGCGTTGCCACCTTTACCGTATGGGCGGCGTTTATGGTGGCCATCGGGTGACCCGCCCGTCCGTTGCAACTTGTTTTGCATCTTTTACCTTTGCAAATTTGGCATTTGAGAAGCCGTTTGACAGCTATTTAGTTATAAATGAAACTAATTTCACGTTCATTGTCTGTACCGTGACCATGAACGCTGTAAAGGGTTCGAAACGTCGGGAATTAAAATTAAAAAATAAACGCGATAAATCCGTGAAATTAGTTTCATTTGTAATGTGTAATCGCGTAAATGCAAGAAATTATCAAGCCAATTAGTTAATTCCTACGATGATCGGTGTTTCAGAAACCGGGCTTTATTGAATTTAATAATTACAAGAAGCAATACTCATAAATTAATAAGGCAACTAGCACGCCGCCCGATGGAATCTTTTGCGCTGTGGACAGTCGATCAAGGTAAACGAGATTATGATTAACTAACACAGTGTAGTAGACACGTTAACTATTACAATTTTTCTATAGATAATTGCATAATCTACAATGTTTCTCTGACCTATTATTATCGCAAATAAGCGAACTTTTTACCTTGAATAAATTTTATTGCAAGTGTCGGTTCGATGGGGACATTTTACATTTAATTTATAATAGCGTTCCGAATATTTGTAACAATTATCGGCTCTATGCGAATTTTGACCCCAATATTCAGTAAGGCGAAAATAAGTAATGAAATGTTTTCGAAAGAATCGCCAATCTCGAAATCACTCAGCAACGTTCTAATTTCATTTGAATGCGAGATTAGCCGCGAAACGTTTACGAAACTTTTTACTTCATCAAGAGCAATTCTATTTAAATTTGGACAGCATTCATTAAAAATTATGACTGATAATAAACTCATATTTCATGTCCTGTTATAATGACGATATGAAACGCCAGATAAACCCCTATGAAATAACTGGCTGGTCTATCACGACCTGGGATTGATAGAAATATCTTAATAAAATTACACAGTTATGACGTACTGTCAAATTTGACAGCTGTCAGTAGCGCATTGAGCGTAAAATGCAAAGCATCTCTTTATAACCATTATACTATAATTGGAATTGAATGTAGAGATCACTAGGAAACATTATTTTAAGCAATAAAATAATTTCGCCACACACCCATAATTATCCGAAACTATTATTTACACAGTTAGTCTATACATCTACACATACAGATAAATAAAATTGGAGTGTCTGTTTGTAATATTAAAATAACTGATTTTTACTAAATACATATGGATGTATACACGGCACTTATACCAAAATAACATTTTTTTACAATTTTTGTCTGTCTGTCTGTTTGTTCCGGCTAATCTCTGAAACGGCTGGACCGATTTTGACGGGACTTTCACTGGCAGATAGCTGATGTCATTAAGAGTAATTTAGGCTACTTTTATTTTTGAAATTTTATTTATTTTAAATTTCACGCGGACGAAGTTGCGGGCACAGATAGTATATAAATAAAATCATGAAATAAACTTTCACTTTTTTTTTTGCACTAATTGCAGTTGTTGTTGAATAGTATTAATAGTAATTATTGCAGTTAATTGCGATGTCATAAATTAAACGCTCGCTCAAATATGCGATCTTCAACCTATCATTACGTTAATCCACTAGAAAGGCAAAGCAATGTCATATGGTTCTACAAAATAACAAACATGATTGATATTATAGGCTGAATAAACAATATCAATAGATGTATAAATAAGGCATATAATAAAAAAAAAGTGTGTGCGTGTAATTTTTACGCGCGATTAAAGTAAAACTTCTTTGGCTTGATGGCATATATCACTGAAATGATTAAATATTTAGTAACGTCATATTTTATAAATATATCATATACTATGACGTTAGTTCCGTCAGAAAAAGCGTTACTTCCGTCAGAAAAAATCTGTGTTACTCCCTAGTCGCGCCTAAAGAAGTTTTACTTCAAAAACTTATGACGTTAAATCATCGAAGCCTTGCTCGTAAAAAACGAGATAGCCGTCGATAAAATGTTGCCAAAAAAAAATTATTTTTAAAGATCATAGTATTAAGATAGTGTTAAAAGAAAAAAAAAATGCGTATACTTATGTACGCACGTAAGAAGTTGAAGTATAACTTGTTTATTGTAACAAAAGAAAAATAACTAAAAATTTTATCAAATATACCAGCACTCTTAGTTTGTGAAAAACACATTAAATTCAATTGCAACGGTTTAATTATATAACTTGGAATTATAGTTAAATTTGAAATATATATAGTAATACCGTGAAATGGTTTGATTGATAGATTGAATAGACGGTTGGTCGCTTTGCCACCAAATCATGATGTCGCTGTCAGTGTGAGCGTACTTTGTGAAAATTTTACACTCATAATGTTTTTCAAACGCCCTAAAAGAAGTACAACTTCAAATATATTCTTATTTGAATATAAACATTTATACCTAAATATAACAGAATGGTGAATATAATAATGCGATATTGTGGCGACTTTTTGCGCGGGAATTAATCGTCCACCACATTAACAAAAACGCAACCGCCTGTATTTCTGACAGATAAAAAAGGAACAAAATCGACTTTTATGAACATGACTGTTTATAACATCGCCGCATACCTTTGTCTGTCCTTCTGAAAGCTAAAACATATAACCGAAAATATATATACATAGATAATTCGGAAACAAAATCATACGGAGCAAAGTCTACTCTCGGCGGCGTAACGTTCACCGTTTAGGCGTACTCACAACAGTCCGACCCTCGTTATGTGGCCCAGCTTGACACCGCGCATGTCGAACAAGAAAATGTAGCCAGGCTGCGGACCCCGTTTCGCCAAGCAGGCGTCTGGAAAAAAAGGTTTGAAACATATAAAAACCGACAATATAAATAGATCATTTGGTTTCAAAGTGAACCCCGGTAACGTATAGGTTGCCAACTATGCTTTGTATTTAACCCACCGCCGGGGGTCCACCCACAAAGTCAAAGTCAAAGTATATTTATTCAATATAGGCCTAACTTAAGCTCTTATTGAACGTCAACAAAAAATCTACCACCGGTTCACTAAACTAGACCTGCACAGAGAAGAACCGGCAAGAAACTCTGCGGTCTTGTTCTTTTTGTTATATATTTTTTTTTTATGCAATTATACACACTTATTTAGGTATAAAATCAGCAGCAGCCAGGGGTCTTGCAAGTGCAGAGCAAGAGTCATTCATCCTTGTCCTCAATGTATTCTTGGATATTATAGTATGCCCTTGCTATTAAGGTAGCTTTTACAAATTGTTTAAAATTGTTTATACTTAGTTGTTTGTGGATGTCACCTATTTTATTATAAAAGTTGATACATCTTCCAAGAAACGACTTTCTGGTTTTAGCCAATCTAAACCTCGGTACTTCCAGAGTGTGGATTGTTTTTTCGTAAATAGGTGGATATTCTTACGTACATACATGATGTTCTCAAGTATGTAAAGCGACGGGAGCGTCAAAACGTTTATTTGCTTAAATATATGCCGTAGTGACTCACGTGGATCCAAGCCATAGACGGCCCGTATAGCCTGCTTTTGTAATACAAATATCGTGTCTAAACCGGATGCGGAACCCCAAAGTAAGACACCATAGGACATTATGCTGTGAAAATAAGCATAATAAAATAATTTAGCTGTTTCCTCGTTAGTTAGCTGCCTGATTTTGCGTATGGCAAAGACGGCAGCGCTCAATTTCTTAGCTAACTTATCTACATGAAATCCCCATTGCAACTTGGAGTCAACGCTTATTCCAAGAAATGCTGTTGAATCCTCAAGGGGTAGGATTTTTTCATCAATAGAGATTCCTGATTGGTGACACAACTTTGAAAGAGTAAATCTAATACATTTTGTTTTATTGGAGTTCAAAAGTAAGTTATTGGTAGCAAACCAGCCAGACACAACATCTAGTATTTCATTTGGTTGTTCCAGTGCATTATCTTTCCTTTTAACTTTAAACAATAATGAAGTGTCATCCGCAAACAAAACAATTTGAGACCTTTTTTCCACTATATATGGCAAATCATTAATATAAACTAAAAACAGAAAAAGGCCCAGGATCGATCCTTGAGGAACGCCCATTTTTACTTTTGACCCCGTTGCCAATATACCATTTATGATTACTTTTTGTTCCCTGTCAGTAAGATATGAGGAAACAAAGTCAATGGCACTATTTCGAAAACCATAATATTCCAATTTCCTGATTAGAATTGTATCATCTACACATTCAAAGGCCTTGGAAAGGTCACAGAACACACCAATGGTGTCATGAAAGCTTTCCCAGGACTGCAGGATATGTGAAACTAATTCTATCCCTGCATCAGTTGTAGATCTACCTTTAGTAAATCCAAATTGGTGCTGATTTAAAATTTTATATTTGTTAAAATGAACTATCATTTGATCCAGCATTATTTTCTCAAACACTTTGCTTAAGGCCGGCAACATACTGATAGGACGGTAATTGGAGGCATTATTTCTCGAACCCGATTTGCACAGCTAGTGCAACAACAAACACACTAGTTCGCCCTCGCCGAGGTTTCCGAGGACGGCGAGACCAACACTACGCGTACACAAGGTACACCCGCGTTCCGGGGCGGTTCTCACCGCTCCCAGCCACCGATTAGCTAATTGCACAGTCGACGGCCATCGAGGTTTCTGTCCGAACCGCGACCTCGATGGCCCTTAGATGACACACCATAGTTAAACGCACGCATGAGCACATGCGCGGCCCTACCCACAGCGGAGGGCCCGAACCCGTGGGTTCTGGCTAGCCCACCGGTTCTGCGTCAGATGAAGCTTTAATAGTCTCGGGACTGAAAGCAAAAACATCAGTCAATACAAGATACAAGACTTTGTAATAACGTATGCCACTTTCTATCACTCAGAACTTTTTATTTGAAAGCTGGTGCTTCCCATGCGGTCCCATATTGATTTCATCGTTATTGGATCTTGGGCTCCGGAGATACTTAGGGAACTCCTGAAAAACAATTATGAAATGAATACAGAGCGCGATATTTGAAGTCGGTTTTAGTTTTTTGTTGATAAAAAAATAGTTCATACTTTTGTATAAAAATAAAATTTGTGAAAACTACTCTATTTTGACTTGGGCCATAAAGAGGCAACAAACTAATGAACCAACCATCTCGTTTCATTACGTGATTAAAATAGAACTCCTACGTGAGTTTTGCAAATAAAAATATAAGAACAGTTTTTTGTTGTTTTTAGAGGTACTAGATAATGTTTGAGAAACCTTGCTGTATCGCGTACGTTTCACGAAATCTTGTCTGTTATCTCTGACATTTGGACCTAGACCTTACATCCATGGATGCTTTTACAGCTGGGGTTTGTGAGCGCTAGGATTCCACAGATTAACTTTAAATACGGTAAAAGTGTTTAATTAAAACAAAATAGAATTTTTTTCTACGTAACACGAACTCAACGAAAACCGGCGGGAAGCAGAAGTGTCATACTTCTGCGTTTCGTCTGGTGAGTGAGGTAGCCGGGGCCCACTTTATTAAAAGGCAACTGCAACCCTACGGGTGTTGCAAATGTGGGCGGCGGTCATCACTTACCATCAGGTGAACCGCCACCTGTTTTTCCACCTTCACACATATAATGAAATAAAAAAAACACTCAGAGGACCATTCTTCCAATTGGCGTCATTACAACAATCACGATTTCTTCTTTCAACTAAAAACGAAACGAAAAGATTTTAATTTAAATAATGAGGCGACTTTGAGTGTTCATTTAACGCTTCTTAAGCACATAATGCTCTCATGAATAAACATTACAGCTGTTTCGGTGATTATTTAATAAATATAAATACTGACCATACGAAGTTGCAATTCATGCGTCCTCGTTTTTAATTAGAACGTTTTATTAAACGGTAAAAAGGACTGTTTCTTGAAGAAACGGAACTGTTTTTGAGAAAAATAAAGTAGCACATTTTCCAAGTAGATAAGAAATAAAGTATAATTACTATAAGATGAAAAATAAAGCATTTTTCAAAATTTGATTTATTTCAGATTGATATATATATATATATATAAATATATATATATATCAATCTGAAATAAATATATGAGATTACATTTTTGTATGCTTGTAGCACACACTCAATTCTAAGAATAAAAATGTTTTTGTTAAATCACATAATTTTATTTATTAACAACAAAGAAAGTGTTCTGTTACAACTTAAAGAAAAAAGTTCAGTTATTATCCTGATACGTACATTACACTTACTGTTTTATTTTATACATCTCAGTAAAGATTGACAATAGAGTATTTTCACATACTTTATACTTTTGCATGAAAATAGCAAAAGTATAAAGTGTATATATTAAACAAAAAATAAAGTAGGAAACGTTATTATAAAGTATGGTTGGCAACCCTAACGGTGACGTTATTAAAGATGCGGCCGGTTAAACGGAACATAGACATCTACATTCTTCATTCCAGCATGTTCGATTCCCAGCTGAATATTGGCCTCTCCATAGACTGCAACAAATTTGTAACAAGGGATGACGCATGGACCGGGATATTCTTTATTTCAAACCAAGCAACATTATTATATGATGTGACAATTCATTATTGTCCAATGCAATAACATATCACCATTCAGTCTTATTAAAAAATAATTAAGACTAGCTGACTCGGCAAACGTTGTTTTGCCATAAAAATTATTTCTAGAGGAATCGGAACGCACGCATAAAGTGTTTGACAGGTTACAGACATAGTTGACCGGTTTACAGGTACAGTTTGTATGGGAAAATAAAATTGCTTTTTCAATTTTCCATGCAATTTTTCCATAATTTCTCATCGTTTAAACCTTCCCTGGAGTGCTACAAATATTTTAAAACCAAAATTAGCCAAATCGGTCCAGCCGTTCTCGAGTTTCAGCGAGACTAACGAACAGCAATCCATTTTTAATTATTTAAGATTGTGACAACAAAATAAATTCTACGCGGTTTTTATGAACAATAGCCAGAATTGAAAATCGACAACTTTAGTAGACTACAGGTGCCATTTTTAAACCGAATTAGGTATTTGCTTACATAATTACTAGTTAAAATGCAAAACCGCGAGCGAACGGAACACGCTTGGAATTCTAAAAAGTTCTAGAGTTGGCTACAAACAAAATACGCAATGCTTTTATAGGTCCAAGAATATTCAAAGATGAGGGCAATCGGAAAATGCCGAGTTTAATTCCTAAAGTTGATACTGTGATTTGCAAAAAGATGATCCACTCTTCAAACATCATCCTCCCGCTAGGTGGGGTCGGCACAACATTAGAATCGTTGTAAGTTGTATTGGCTAGGTTTTTTACAACGGGCCGCGGTTGCCTGACGTCAACCCTCCATGGGAACAAACACCGATCCGGGGGTACCAACCAGCACCTTCTGCCACTCGAGAACCTTTCTTCAACATCGGCTATAGATAAATATTAACACCGGCCAATGTCTTAGCAACTACCCCATCGAGTTATCAAACATTTACAATCTTTTATCACAAACGCTATTTCTAGAACCCGTATTTTCAAAGGCTTGTTTTATCTGCTTCAGTTTAGAGGAAATTTTTTTGAAAACAGCTCAAGGTCAGCAGTCAGGTCAGGCATCACGGCACCTCACAGTCCATAATCGCAACTACGAACGAGTTTGGAGGTTTTCCCTGTAATTAGGGATAATTATCAAAGTTTATTTTTTGTTTGACGAACGGACAATTCTGCCGTTGCGTTAGATGTCGTGTCCGGCTTTAGAACAAAAAACTACGCAATGCTATGTGCTCGTATCTAAGTGCCTTTTTTACATAAAAATGTTCGTGGGA